GATCACAGCTACGTATGTCGGATGAGTAGCCGTTGGGTATCCATCATACCGAGAGAAGGAATGTATGGCTACTAGTCCGAAAATGAGCAAAGAACGAAGGAATGTATGGCTATCAGAGCATTATTATAATGTCCCAAACTCGTTAGTTGCCGTTGGTTATTTGTCCCTTCCTGTGTCTGCTGCTGCTGCTCCTCGTGGTTCTGGTTTTCGATGTCTTGGGTTYCGTTGCTTGTGCCCCAGAGAACGAGAGTTGTGGAGCAGTTTTCCATTTCTGTGAGTTTCCACGAAACGGTTAGATATGTAGGYATGGACCCGGGAAATTCAATTTAAAATAGTGTTGTGGAGAAAGTCATCCAATCCAATTAGAACCTACCGAACATAATTGGATATCCAATTGTAATTGGACCGGATCAGATCAAAAAAATTTAACATCCAAATGATTAGTGTATATGCAGTTACCGAGTCACTTACGTTATCGGTTAAACATGGAAGGAAGAAGAATCTTACCAAGTAAAAGGCAAGCAAACGACCAACAATCTTAAGAATTACACCCGCCAAAAAGCAATGCAAAGATTGAGAATTACCTCCAGTAGTACTTATAAGGGATGAAACAATGTTCAGTACTACTGGAGGAATGCTCTTCAATACCACCTTCTTCTGGCAGGCACGTTGGCTGGCTAGAGTGATGGGAGCATTTTCAATCCTGTTGCATATTCTACGTTTATACCAAATAACCTTCAACTTTAATGTTTCTTTCAAAATTCCCCAAATCCATCATTTTTTTTTGGATAAGAAGTGTACTGACGTGATCCTTTTTTATTTTGGTGGGGTTCATCCTTTTCTAAATAATGTTGAATCACAACACTGAAATCCATGGAAGAAAAGGAAGAAGAATGCCTTGTTGAGTTGATGACTAGACATAATAAGCTCTCTAGCAAGTAGCAACAAACATGTGTTAAGTTTCCTTGGGATTTCTTACAAAATTTGCATCACGTTAAATCACAGCAATGAAATCCATGTAAGCAAGAAAAATACCCGGACTAGAATGATGATAGACATTTCTTCAAATTTAACCACCAAAATGTTTGTTAATCCTAAGTTTCCTTCTACAAATATTGTTCAATATGAAATGAATGAACGCTTATAAGAATACTATTGGGATGCTATTCAAAAACTTTCTTCTTTCCCGCCGTACGTCAATTCCTTTGATAAAATCCTCCGACCTCTCTCTCTCAATACCACCTTTTTCTGGCAACAACAAAGGCCGGCTGGATTGGTGGGAG